GCTAAGCTCTTCTTTATGTCCACTGAATAACATGAGGATATGAAAAGATGTTGAATTTCCATGTAACGAGGCTATCTAAATCCAATTACAGCCACACATGCTAACCACTGAGTAGTGAATTTTAAAATGCTCCTTTCAATTTCACGCCGACTATTTTGCAAATAAATGAAAAAAATACGTATTTTATTGAACAGAAGAATTCATAAGGCACAAACAAAAAGAATCTGGGAAAGGACAGGTGTACACAAAGGCTGAGCGCTAGAGAACAAATCCCCACATGAGCACAAAAGGCCTCAACTGACAGAAAAAAAAAACCACGCAACCATTTAGTGATGAAATTGCACCAACTGAACATTCAGTGCTGGGCTAATTTCTAAGCCAACGAATGAAAACAGTATAGGTTTTTTAAGTGAATTTATTCCATTCTTACTTTTTTTCCCCTTTATATGCTTATTTTTTTTCAGTGCATTCATATTTCCTTAAATAATTATTTTGATGTACACCTTCGTTTTCTGACTTTAAAAGCCTGAAATTCATCATCAGTTACAGGTGCCAAGGAAAGTAATTATCTTCATACTATATTTAAGTATTACAAAAAGCCCAGTTGGGAAGCAAAAAGAGAAGATTAACAACACTCTCTTTATTAAATTACATACCTGCTCCCTGCAGAATGATTGGAAGACTTGGAAGTATATACAATTTCCAAGCATACATTCTACTCCTTGGTAAGATTGCCTGTTATAAGCAGACATAATTACTCTGGAATATATATAGTCTGGGATATACATACATATACACACAGTTTTGTCTCCAGCAGTTTTTTGCTGTTCTAATGGAAAAATACTGTCAAACAATGAGTGCACAATCGATTCAGAAAAGCACAGCCAACCCAGCAGAGTCCAGGCCAACCTCCTCTGGTTTCTCAGCATAAAGGCACCTCCATAGCGTCCAACCAGTGTCTGTGCAGCCCCCCAGTACAACACCAGAAACCTTGGAAAGAGCAGAAAAGGGCATGTGTGCCCACTGCAGTACTTCCACCACAATACCTAACTTAGGCTGCCGATTTTCTGTGTCAGAGGTTGGATCCACATGAACTTGCTGAGGCCTTTTCCAAATCCTGCTCACCACAATGAGTTCCAGAGTTTTATTGTGTGTTTGGTGAAAAAAAACCCACTATATATATACATAATTTGTATACATCTACTGCTTGATACAGCACTCAGCAAGGTATTACAGCCAGTGATTTTTGCTGGACTTCCCATTTTCTATAGCAATTAACCATTACAACACCTAAATACTAATGCCATAAATGACCTCATTACCCAACTACCTGGGAAAAACCTGTTCACTGTGATGGATGCCTTTTAGCAGATTCTTCTCTGCCTTTCAAAGGGACATAGCAATAGCTGCACCATCATACACACAAAGTTCCATCCTAGTAGATCTCTGCTGAGAGTACTTAAATTTGAATTCTGTCAAATAATATATAGCCAAGATTGAGGCTTTACCCCTGATTTATGCAGGGCTAGGCTTAACCTATCTGAGAGAGTTACACAACAGCATGCAATTGCTTGTCCCTGGAGCTCTCTAGAGAACAACCACCTCTGCTCAGCTTGCTTCTCAGCTGCAGTATGTCGGCCTCGTTGTAAAAGGGGATGAGAGGCAGGTCTACGACACTGTAATAGAGTGGCAAAAATAATAAAAGGGGGGAAACAACAGGGAGGAGACAGGAAAGTTGTTCACAAATAAAAAAAGCATATGGAAACTGCATGAAGGGCATGTAAAAGAAGCTGATCTGACCAGATGGCTAAGGAGCAAGGAGAGAGTAATTCCAGAAAGCAAAGGGGAACTAGAGAATGGAAAAAAAAAGAACAAAGATTTTGATGTTAATTCTGAATAGGGCAAATTCAAAGGGAAATTAACAGGAAAACTACAGCTGTAATTACAGAAAAGAAAAAAAGATACACAAAAGCAAGTCAGCAGAGGTTTGAACTGATGCAGAAATAAGTCTTTCCCACCTGGAGAGAGACTTAAGTTTTGTGGTCTCAGCATTAACAGCTTTAGATGTTGAACTATTAAGGAGGATCTGTACTGGATCTTCTGCACAGATACTTTGGCAATGAGGCCATGATGTATCCACAGCCAGAGCTCCAAGTCCCCGTAAAACAAATATCAGGGTGCCCAGTACTGAAGGTGAAATTGTAAACTTCAAAAACATGCATTTCCTACTAAATAAGAATAAGACTCAAATTACTGAATTATGTACAATATTTACTCACTGATTTGGATTTATTCATCTTTTTGTCAGCTGGTTTCAGAAATGCAACCTTTATCAGTTGCTAAAGGGCTTCTCAAGGTGAGAAGGAAATGCTAATTGGTTTCATCCTTTTGTGAAACAATCCATCCAAACTTAATTAGAATAGGTTTGCTTTTTCTTCAAAAAGAAATAATCCATAAGAAAAGCTGATAGGCAGAGCAAACTGCATCTCGCACAAAGGTGGTAGGATTTAATGATTTTGAGCTATGCTCCCAGAACTCAGTTGCCTTCAGGCATCTATCTGGCTTTTCTCAGTGGATGGCATAATTAGGACCTGAGTGTAAACCCCAGTGGTGCCGGCTGATAAGAAGTTAATCTTTCGGGCACCACGTGGGCCAAGAGAGATGTGCCAACAGGTCAAATTAGCAAAGGCTTCCCGTTCCAGACTGTGCCATAGCATTTCTCAGCACGGATAAACAGCTGCAGGATCTGCTTCTGAGGTGCTTCACCTCAGCAGCGCAATGGGAAGTAGCCCAGGGCAAGCAAAGGGCTTCAGCTGCACCTTGTACTACCAGCTGCAGGCAGTGCAAACACAGCTCTGGGGTACAAACTCCTAAAGGCCTTTCCATGGAGCATTCATATGCCCAGTGGGCACGTAAATCCCATAGATGTACCCAATCCTGTGGCAGTAGGATTCAAGTCCAGGAGCTGCAGCCACACTGGGTATAAACTGGCATTTCTTACTGAATTTAGGAACTTCATCAAGGGTACTTGTCATTAAGATCTGATCACAGACCACTTGAACCCTCTGACTGAAGCTAAGCAACCCAGAATACGGGTCAAACTCACGTCATCTCAACTTTAGACAGAGGCAGCCCAAGACCTACTGGCAACACAGAACACAAAAGCCTTACAGAAAGCTCAGCCCCCACAGCCACGTATGAGAAGGTGAGAAACATGTTATGTGCTGTTCCCTTTCATCCATACAGGAGAGAGAAGAAAGTTCCTGGTTGTTGGAAAAGCAATGAAGATTTGCAGAGTGCTCAGCACCTGCTCTCTGCAAGATAGAGAACCTTTCCTTTAAAGAAGGAAAGCACTTTCCTGGCAGCCAGTGACGTGCAGAGGCCCAGCATCTATGGGCATAACAATTCCCTCTAATAATGTTTAAGAGCAAATCCCAGTCTCAAGAGGAATATAGCACATTGAAACTGCTCCTGAGGAATTTGACTGGTGTTGCCAAGATGACCACAACAATGGCAGAAGTTAACAGGGATTAAAATTGTTTTATTAAGTAGGTTCATCAGAATTTACTTATTAGCAAACCTGATTAGTCGGAGACTGTCTCCATGTTCCTACTCAGTTGCTGCCTGCTGCCTGCTGAACAGACAGAGGGATGCTGGAGAGATTATTGCTAAGCCCTTCCCCCTTCCCTCTCCCCTCCTCTTCCAGGACCACACTGACAGTCCCAAGGGAAACAGGAGAGACAGAGGGGGTAGGATCCTGCAGCTCTCGCTCAGCACATTTCACCAGAAAACCCAATGAGCCCAGGAAGAGGAGCTGCCACTCAGGACACTGACTCTTGAGCAAAGGATCTATCAGTACAACATATAATATATGAACACGTATGAATATTTTCCCCTTCTAGAGGACATAAAAGAGGAAAGAGACTTGGATCTCCAGAGTGCTACAGCAATTCTATTTTTTTTTTTTTTTGTAATCAATACCATTAAACATCCCCAGGTCTTTCTGCTGGATCGTAACTCAGCTGACCAGTTTGCAGCATGCATACTTCACCTGCGGGGAAGCCTGGCAGCGGGCTGCAGCCCGAGGCACGGTGGTAAGTAACTTGGGGGAAGTTTCCTTATGATTTTTGTAGTTTGCTGCCTTGGAGTAATGAATTCCTGTGAATCTTTGGAGAATATGAACAAAAACAGGGATTTGTTCCTGAGAGAAGGAAGGGAAGGGGGGTGTCTTTCAATTGCTTTTCTCTCTGAGCTGGTTGTTTTCTTTCTGTCCTTGTAACAAAGTTTTCTACAGGATGGGTGAATGTTCCCTGTATTTTCTCAGTAATTTGCAGTGATGTGAGACCGAGCTGATAAGAATACTTGTCATTTAGAAAGCAGTTTACTCTTAGAGCATTGAACAAACATGTACTAGTTAATCCTTGCCATGGCTCTGCGAGGCAGGCAAAACAGGCGAGCAGTGAAGAAAACAGGAATTAGAATCTGAGCATTCGAGTTAAAGCAATTAAGAACTTTGCATCCAGCTGATGGCAGGTAATTGACCACTCTAGTAACTATTAAGCAGCTTAGTTAAGTTAGTGTGTATTCAAGGGTTTACAGAAATTAGAGAGCCATGAAGCAACTGCTGGAAAATGAACAATCCAGCAACGACTGAGATATTTTAGAGCAGAGGCTGATCTGCTCTGGTTTGGATTTGCAGGCGTCTGACCCTTTGCGATAATTATGAACGAGGCTTTAGCTCTCCTCTGTGCCTGTGTGTTGCCAGACAACCAATGAGGCTGCAAAGCAAATCGCATTCACAGGCTGCAGATTTCAGGAGGAGGCACAGGGGTGACTTTTACTTACAAACACTCATTAAATTGGTGGTTTAGGGAAGTACCCGAAGCACCCTTTCTCTTGCAGTAACCTCTACTATGTTTTCTCCTTCCTCACGCATCTTTTGGCTGGCAGATAACCCCGGTCTGATGCCATTTCGGATGTCCCAGTGAGAACTCTTAGAGATGCCTATTCTCTCTGGAGGCAGCGACCAAGACTATAGTAACATTAGCTACGCTTCTTGTAATTCCTTGAGCCATTTCTTTCCTGTCTCCGTTGAAACTCCTTCTGTCAAAGGGGTCCATTACCAAAGAGCCAGGAGGATTTACCGCCCTGATCAAGCCTCTGCAGTCGATCTAAAGACAGAAATTATGATAAATGTTGGAGGCATCAAATACCTGCTACCCTGGAGCACTTTAGATGAATTTCCCCTGACCAGACTGAGCAAACTTAAGTTTTGCAGCAGCTACGAAGAAATTATTCAGCTGTGTGATGATTACGATGAAGACACCCGTGAGTTCTTCTTTGACAGGAACCCCAATGCTTTTGGGATGATTGTCAGCTTTCTAGCAGCAGGGAAGCTGATGCTCTTAAGAGACATGTGTGCCTTGTCTTTCCAGGAGGAGCTGAGATACTGGGGGATTGAGGAATCCAACCTGGAGAACTGCTGCTTTCGAAAATTATTTCAGAAACTGCAGGAGCTGGCTGAGGTACGGAAAGAAGAGGAGCTCCGGAGGAGCAAAGAAGCTGCATGTGTCCTGGATGAGAAGACCAAATTTGGGCAGTTTATGAACAGACTCAGAGATATGGTAGAAAATCCTCAGTCGGGACTCCCAGGCAAAGTCTTTGCTTGTCTGTCCATCCTCTTTGTGGCCACCACAGCTGTAAGCCTTTGCGTTAGCACAATGCCAGATTTAAGAGCTGAAGAAGACAGGGTAAGTAAGTCCTCTTTAACTGATCTGACTGTAGAATTTAAAGTGTGTCTGCTTTGCTAGGTATGCATCCTTAAAAAGACAAAACAGATACAGAAAATCCATAGTGATGAGGTCTGAAACTGCTCTGAAATGGAATTTTCTACAACAGAAAATGCAGTAATAGCTGAAAGTACTTCTGTCAGTTTCAAAAGGATGTTCAATTAAGAATAATTTTCACAAAGTAATTTACTAACTGTGAGCTAAACTACAAGAACGTATTTCTGGACAGAACTCTCACATAGCATTGGGTTCCCTTCCCAAAAAGCAGTTGCTAGCATAAGTTATAAACTTGTTACACTGAGACTCTCCGACTCACACTGAGGAGTTTTCAGCACACTTTACTCTTTGGTTACAAGCAATCAGTCCATAACAGCAAAAGAAATACTTTCTATAACATGCAGCACTAATATCAAATACCAGCTGAACTTCTAACCACATATAGACCCTTTTAGTAGGGTCAGCTGCAGTAATTCAGGGCAAACTGTCCAAGCCTGTATCATACAGAGGGATCTTTTCTACAATACTGTTGTATTTCAGCACTGTAAAGATCTGTTATTCCAATTCTAAAATGGAGGAAAGTAAAATCTAAAGTTATTTCAGATGCAGTAACGCCCAAATTTATCAGATAGCTTTGACTAATCCGTTTAATTAATCCTTCACTTCATTAGCAAACTGTCCTTCTGAAAGTGGTGAGAAAATAAACTCCCTGCCCAGCAAGATAAGACATCCCAAAAGTATTCAGCACTGATGAATAAAGACATTTTCACATTTATAGCACATTACGGTATGCACCACGCAAATATATGTGCCTACTTTATTGCTCTAGCAGTAATTCAAGGCAGCACAGCCACAGCAAGGACGTGTTATGATATATGATGTCTTTCAATGAAACTGAGGACTGATTAACCTGTATTTGCATAGGAAGACTACTAACTTTCAGCAGTAAGTCTGGTGCTCTCGCAGCTCTCCACAGCTATTACATCTGGCAGAGAAAACTGATACCCTGCTACAGTGCTTCTTCCAAGGAAACACTTTAAAGAGAGCACATCCTTCTTAGAGTTAGATGTAAAAACATTACAAGCCCTGCTCTGGGAAGTGCTTTGTGCTAACTTTGTTAATGGAAGTTGCCTGATGGATTTTGTTGTCGTTTTCCAACCACTGCAGAAAAAGCTTTTGTGAACACTTGCCATGAAAAAGAAGCACATGTTATTTCAGATCTCAGCACCACGTAACATGTTGTGTGCTTTTAAAGCTAATTCTCTGTGTTTTAGAAAGGGAAGGATTTTCAGGTTTGTAAGGGTATCTGGTCACTGAAGTATTGCTGCTTTCCATGGACCCTCTATAAAGCACAGATAACTTTACTTCCCAGAGACCTGCATCTGTATCACTACTTTAAAAACAAGCAGACTGGACTGAAACAAACTCTAAGTGAGAGTGCTTGAAGTGCAGGGCAGAGCACGAAGGCTGAGCTTGGTCCAAGGCATAGATTTATCCAAATAGTTGCAAACATCTCACAGTTTACACTTCAGGCATTAGAACAGTGCACCTCTTCGTGGAGCCACAGAAGCACAGAGCACAGTATTGAAAGCCTGGTTATTTGAACCATTTAAAATTATGCCAGAGAAAGCACAGGGGAGTATGTGAGACATACTGCCCACACCCTGTGGAAAAGCAGAATATGAACTACCAAATATTTTCTATCTCCAAATTTTTAGCCTGCAATACCTAGCATTTTCCTACTGGGATTTCAGAACAGCATTTTAGCAATAGCAAAGCAAACCACTCGCAGAGCTTAACTGATGAAAAAGCCCACTTCCCAGTTATGACTCCCAGGGAAACTGCACATCTGCATGGAGATTTGTTACTCAAACCTGGTCATTGACCGACCTCTGAAAGTGACTCCAGCATGAGGACGTGCACCAGCAACCTGGGGCAGCCATGCAACACCTCAAATTTTGGTTCTGTGAGCTGAATTTAAAAATCCCATGATTCCCATTTGCCTAGCAACAGAAACAGTCAAACTTCTCCAAAAAAGTTTCTGAACAACGTGTAATTTCACCCCTGAATCTAAAGATGTCCCATTCTGAGGTTTATTCATTTCTGAGCTGAAGTTTGACTAAACCTCTATGCATAAAGGTGCTTAGAGGTATTTTAAGGATCTGTATTCCAATGTCACTAACACTGGAAATGGAATGTATCCATTCTGAAATACAAGCAAGAAAGGCTTTACCTCTGGTGCGTTTGTACCACTCGGGGCTCCTTTTTCCAATCATCACAGCTGCCACACTAAGAGGATGAGAACTGGCTGGGTTCCAGCACAAGGAGGATCAGATTCAAACGAAAAAAAAAGAAAAGAAAAAGAAAAAGAAAAGGAAAAAATAATACCAGGTGACTTCCATTTCACTCAGAGGCTGATGCAGGCACATGAAATCACTCGTTCTTTTAGCAGGTGCAAAGCCAGGGCTCGTTCAGAAGGAAGAAAAGCTGCCTCGGCAGGCAGGAGAGCAAACAGGAGTCCTCACCATCCGAGAGAAAGTGAGAACTCCGGTCTCTGGGAGAGGGATGGCAAGGAGCCAAGGCAGGAGCATCTGCACCGGGGAAGCCCATCACCCTGGCAACCAGAGGGAGGGATGGAGCCATCCGCATGGGGAGCGCAGGGCGGGGGCTGGCTGACAGATCAGAGCGCAGCCCAAAGTCAAATAAAGAACGAGGCACTGGAACCGTGCACATCTGCCAGAATATTTCAAACAGCATTAGGAACAGGAAGAAAAAGCAGATAGAAGAGCAAACAGTTCCGTATCGTGTGAGTGCCTGATGTGAATCCCAGCCCAGAGGGAACGGCCCCAAGCGAAGGAGGCCAAAAGTTTGGGAAAAGTCCAAGGGTAAATCTGGGAGGCTCTATCTCAGGTCTGAGTCTGACCATGAAACAGATGCCACACAGCTTTATCTAAGTATTTGTGTCCATTCTTAAGGGAAAGCAAACTGTCTTCAGTAAGGAAGCAAATACGGCATCACCAAAATGTAGTAATCAAGGCAGATGTGAGTGTGGGGGTAGACAAGAAATCATACTTGGGAGTGAGGAACTGTCATTGTTATTGATCCAAACAGGTATTGCTGGCAGCATGAGAGAAGCACTGAGCTGAATCACAGACTGTATTTAGGATGAGAGCTGAAATTCTCTTCCAATGAAGGAATTAAGATGAGCTCATTAGAGTCACGGCTAAAGTCTTCCCAAAAGTCAGTCCCATGCAAGAGGTACAGCCAGGATCCAGGAGGTGCAAATGAAGTAGGCACTGCTCAGCACAGATAATCCAAAGGGAAAAAAAACATCATTACACCTGTGAAATATGGAACAAAACCAGCACAGAAGGGCTCAGACAGGACTGTGCTTTGAAGCACCCTTGGGATTTTCTTTTGGAGGAGATTTCTTTTAATGAGTCGCAGAAATCAGCTTTCTCTGGAGAAATGACTCAGCAGAAAAGGTGCAGCAAGGTCTTTTCCTCAGGAAAGACAACCAAATTAGGGTCAGTGAAAGAAAAGAAAGAAGAACCCCCAGACATTCCCATTAGCTGTACCTCAGCACGGTACAACCACAGCTTTTCTCCTGGTGCAGAAGCTCTCAATGGGTCACACTGATGTGATGTCCTATGGCCTCTGCTGAGAGAGAAGAAAACATCTATCCTCTGTTCTCCAGTGATAAATGAGGGGTCAGACATCATTACTACTAATTTTTGTGTTTGCCCATAACTGATCTTGAGAAGCTTGTAAGTGCTTTCTGTACTGCACAGATAACCTAATGAAACAGAACCGACATGCGATGCAACCAGCATCGTCAGACCTCATGATTTTATCTTGGACCTAAGTATATTCATTTTCTGAAGTTCCAGTTCCTGCGATCATTTGATTATGTAGAACTCTAATTCATTTTAAACTACATGCTTTTAGTCACTGATTACACTGAGAATCCAGAAAAAAAAAAAAAAAAAAAAGGGGCGGGGGGGGAACAGGCAAACAAAGAGCAGATATATAATAAATGGAACCATATTTTATTATTTGTTCTTCATTCTGTGCCATTATTCTGGAGGCCCCATTTTTTTTTTTTCAGTGTTTGACATCGCTGATGCTGTCTGTATCCCTGTACCTACCTGGCTCAGACCCCAGAGGAAACTGCTGAGAAACACATTTTCTGTAAAAGTAGAGTTTCAGTGCTTTATAGGAGAAAAGGCAAGGACTTCCTGGGGAGACAAAGGAAACCAGACAAGATATTTGCTTCATGAGGGTTACTATCACCTGGGCTAAATGGGGTAATTATAAAAAATCACACTGACTTTGGTTAAACACAAACTTTAGTTAACTGGTTAAAGCACGCAAATTTTTGTCAGTGTGAAGATATGCTCAGTGTGAAGATAGACACGTATGAGACAGAGCCTCAATATTCAAGCTATTAAATCCACTGTGAAGACATTAGAGCATAATGCTCCAGCCCTGCCCATAACCTGCAAATAAAATTAAATCTCCTCAGTGCATTTATTAAAGGAAAACTTGAAGGACTTGGGAGTGACTGGAGAAGATAATAATCCTTATGGAGAATGTCACATAGAGGTGTACAAACCCAGTCCTACTGCTCACAGTCTGCAGAGACAAGACTCTCTGTCAAAGTGTAATTTGGCCAACTGGCAAAAACAATCACCTGTGGTAAACTGGATGAGACAGCTGTGTTTTGACAGATACCCCTGGCTACCAAATGCATAGCTTTTAAATAACAGGGGCTAAGCACTGATCAAAAAAGAATTTTCTAGCTGATTAGCCAGGGTAAAAGGATTTTTGCTGAGTAATATCTTTTTCAATGAGTAGCAGTTCAGAGTACTATTAATAAAGCTGGGCACTATTCAAAGAATACGTGCAAAGAAGGGTATTTGTCACTAACTCTACGGTCAAATGCATCTTCTAATGCAAGGCAT